GACGAGTGCTTGCGGTGTTCGGCCAATCAAAATGCACTGGGTCAGCTGGCCAATCAGAGCAGACTGCTCTGGTCGGAAGGAGGGACTTTGTAGAAAACGAAGCGTTTGAGAGAGGCGGGGCATAGAGGACTTACAATAATGTACAGTATTTGAAAAATAATGTGTTTTTTGAACATTAAAGCATGTCAACATATTCTGTTACACCAAATACACAAAATAATGATCTTTAAAAAAGCATCATATGACCCCTTTAATACTATTTTAATTTGTGTGTTATGGCTTTGAAACTCATGAGGGTGAGTAAATAGTGACAGAATTTTCAATTTTTTGGGTGAACCATCCCTTTAAGTCTGGCCTGCATTGTGGCGCTAGCCCATAATTTAAAAATCATTTAAATTCATTATTTTTAATGGATAAAATGAATTCATATTTTAAAAATAACAGTGTCTGAAATGGTTTGGATTTGAATATTTCAGTCATGTATATAACCATGACTCGTTAGCAGCCTTTTAAAAGTGTTATAATTCATCTGCATATTTTTAGATAGGAGTGTAAAACAAACTAATTATTCTCCAAAAATGTAGTTGTGATGAACTGCACTGAATTGAAAGAAATAAACAACAGCTTGTAATAAAGAGCTTAGGAATGGGATGCTGTGTTAACAAACGTGAGGAGTTAATTAAAAACGGGAAATCACAAATGAAAGAGAATGCCTGAGGCAGACCTACTGGCAACAGTGGTGCCCTGTTAGTAACACACACGCACACAGAATCCATATGTCTCCTGTGTTCACGTCCACCTGATTTTAGAAGCTACATTTACCCAATATGCACTAACTTGTCATAACCATGAAAAAAAAATCGAATCTTTGGTACATTACAGTAATATGTTCAAATACAGCACAAAGTAAACTGTATCAAATGTAAGGTTGTGCTTACGTTGAATGTAGTACTTTGGCTAGGTTAAGACTGTGTTAATTGAGGTCTCTGAGGAAACAATCCATGAACAGCCTTTAACATCCCTGGAACCTTTCCATTCCAAAAAAGGTGGATAAAGGTTCTTTAGATTTTTTTAAATGTTCATCGTGGTTCTTTTAAGAACTGTTCACTGACAGGTTCTTTGGGGAACCAAAATGGCTCTTCTATGGCATTCATGTGAAAGCCCCTTTTTACAATATTTATTTTTAAGAGTGTAAGTGAAAAATCATTGTTAGGACTATAGACCTCAGATGCTGAGGTGAGTCATTTGTGTTGTGATATGTATTTATCGTCAGCAGCACCTTCACAAACACCCGAAAGGAAAATCGCTCAGTAACAATAACAAGCATTGCCGCAGGCACAATTAAAGACTACACGTAAGTCTACTGTCAGAAAGAATTAATGTAAGAACACACACACACGCTCTGTCACACTCGCTTTCTTAATCTTACTCTTAGACTTTCTCTCTCTCTTGTTTTATTTCTCTCTCTTCTTTGAACCTGAACTTCTTCTGACTGGAATACATTCACACATTACTGCTATCCAGTTAGCATATTACTCATGAAATATGCATCCCACATCCATATCTGCGTAACTTACATGAGAGTCAGTCATGTTGTTTTTCATTCCCACACTTCTGCAGCTATGCTTAAACTGACTCAGTCTTTATACCTCATGCGTCTTAAGTCACTGTGTGAACGTTTTTATTATAATGCCATTTGTTTGTTTACATGAGGTTAGTATTTTATTTAATAGGCTATTGGAGTTAGCTTACCATTTTGTATAATGCCATAGTGAGGATGGCATTAGTATGAGTTTTTTTTGTGTGTCTTTTCTTGACCTTTAGATTAAACCTAAGGTTAAGCTTCTCTTTCCTGTCCTTTCAATAACCCTGTAGAAGAACTGTGTGTAATGAAAATCAGCTGCAGTTTAACAAGGAAGTGGGAGATGAGAGATACAAATCAAAACTGATGCACAGATAAAAGTGATAAAAATATAAAACTGGCATATACAGTACATATCACATCCTCAAGCTCTTGATTCTGGACTGCAGAAAAAGTATATAATATCGCTTTGTCTGTCAAAGAAAAGGGTCTTCCTAGGGTAAAAGATTAATGAAGCTAGGTTGATATTCTGTCTTCCTGCAGGAACTGTGGTTTAATCCCTACTGTCTCACTTTGGATTACCACAGATGCACATATTTATCTGGCAAGACACATGCAGGTCACACAAACATATGTTACACACAGACACGTCATCCACACAAACACGGGTCACACACAACAGACTATCTATAGAGGGCAGAAGTTTAAATAATTACACAACACTTTTGTACATATTTCCTATGTGCTGATGAAGGAAGTCTTAAATGCCTGAAGAAAGCTTTCCATTAACATTCCCATTCATCTTAATGGCAGTTGGCCAGCAATTGCAGGGCCCCTCAGAGGTATGTGACCTGGATGCTGCCATCTTGGCTCCTGGGCACTTAGTTCCTGGTAACATTTGTCAAAGGCAGTGGGCAGTGGGTATCCTTAACAAGTCTTAAAATGTCATATGTCAAATGTTTCTATCAAAATTAAGATAAAAATATCTTAAATGGTACAACAACAAGTCTTAATTATCATTTTAAGAGGGTTAAAATTTGGGGAAGGAAAACAGGAATCATGATACAGGTTAATGTTTTTAATGGAATAAATGTTAGCAGCTCCTTCAGTCTTTTTTTTTTTTTTAAATCCCTGAAAGTTTAAGTTAGGATAGTTTACTAGAGCAAAAATCTATGGAGATGAGTTTACCTATTTGGTGTGATGACGTTTAACGTCCCCGACAACCTCTGTAGTTGAGCTAGTGTTAACCACAGACCTTATTTCAGGCATTAAACCAAAAAGCCTTTCAAAAAACCCATTTACACTAAGACGATGGAACTGGAAATACTAAAATGCGAGTTCCATGAGTTCTGGCCTACAAAAATACATCACCCCTGCAGCACTCCATGAGCAGTTGAAAAAGCATTTCAAAATAAGAGTCCCTGTGTATTTTGGGCTTGTTTATGAAATCTTGCAACAGTTTTATACATCTTGTTATTGTAGATATTTTGGTTACACAAGGAAAGACAAAAACATTACGATGTTCAATAGATTCAGTAGTATCAGCACAGTCTATCCAAATTTTACTTGACAAAAAAGGTTGTATGTCATGTGTATCTGGTCTTATACAGTTGGTCTCTTAGTCATGTTCTCTACACAGTGTTTGTGTACATTTACATAATAGTGTCTCCTCTATCCACCACATCTGTTTTGTGAACAATCTCTGGTCATTATAGACTTTTACACCCTCATGTCTGTTATCAGAATGATTTGTGGGAAGGCTTCTGGTTTACATGAGTATTTGATTTTCTCTGGGGGAAGGTTTCATGCACTGAAATAAATAAATAAATAAGTAAAACCCTAACCAGCATGACATTGGCAAAATTGCTGCTATACTGGGTAGACATAAAATAATTGCTGTCTTGCGTGTTTGTGTTTATCTGAAAATCTGTGTTTGAGTGACAGCTGTGCACTGTGTTTTGTACAATGTGAAAGCTATTTCAACAGACTAAATTGGCCTTTTGAAGAAGGTAAAGTGTTTTCTTACATTTACATCCATTCAATGCATTTAGCAGATGCTGTTATCCAGGGCAACTTACAAAATTGCTTTAGTATTGCCTACAAGACCATTGTTATCAACAGATGGCATGCATGCAATTTGGAAAGCTTCCTATACCGATACAAAAAAAAACAGATAAAAGATAGTACTTGGAAGTTCACAATGTTATTTTTGTCATGAGGGGAGAGAGAGGAAGGCGTAGGTGGAGGGCTGAGTAGGGAGTAGAAGGTGCAGAAGAGTTTCCTCGGGGCAGTAGCGTCAAGCTTTGCACCATAGCTTTTCGGCAAGATTGGAATATGAGGTAAAGTCATCTGGAGTTCCCTTATGTGCTGTCTCAGAACCTCTGTAAACTGTGGAAGCTTGATTCCGCCATGGGGTGAAAAGATTTAAAAATTGTAAATTGTAATTGTGACTTTTTATCTCACAGTTCGGACTTTTTTCTTGCGAAAGAAAGATTAAAAAAAATTGCAATTACCTTTTTTTTTTTCTTTTTTTTTTTCCATGGCAGAAACAAAAAACAGAATTGCGAGATGTAAACTCAGAATTACCTTATGTGCTGTCTCAGAACCTCTGTAAACTGTGGAAGCTTGATTCCGCCATGGGGTGAAAAGATTTAAAAATTGTAAATTGTAATTGTGACTTTTTATCTCACAGTTCGGACTTTTTTCTTGCGAAAGAAAGATAAAAAAAAATTGCAATTACCTTTTTTTTTTTTCTTTTTTTTTTTCCATGGCAGAAACAAAAAACAGAATTGCGAGATGTAAACTCAGAATTCAGAGAAAAAAATCTAAATTGCGAGATGTTAACTTTTGCAAGGTATAAGCCCATAATTCTGAGAAGAGATGTCTGAATTGCAAGATGTAAACTTTTTATTCCATGGCAAAAAAAAAACGGAATTGCAAAATGTTAAATCAAAATTCCAAGAAAAAAAGATGTAAACTCAGTATTCTGAGAAAAAATAACAGAATTTTGTGATGTAAACTTCCTATAATTGAGGAAAAAGGTCAGAATTGTTTGATATAAACTTGTAATTGCAATGTGAATTCAAAAGATAAAATGTAGAATAGATTACCTTTTTTTGGATTTGTATTATTTATTTATTTTTTGTGGTGGAAACAAGCTTCCGACCAGGCCTACTTAGAGGAGTCAGAACAGAGAGTCAAAATAAGGGAAAGATGCAACAGTTGATGCTGCTGCTTCAATAATGGATAAGGTGATGGTATAGTTAGGAAATCTGAGAGAAGGGAAGTGCCATTTGCTAACACCTTTGTATGAAGATTTTGGTGTGTGTAAAAAAAGACTAGGCAGAGAAGCACAGGTGTTGAGGTGTTTCCAGTAGTGCAAATATGTGTAATACACGTTTGTGTCTGTGGTCTGCAGGTGTATACACGGTTTGGGAAATGCTACACGTTTAATGGAAACAAGACGTCACCCAAGCGGGTAAGGCAAGGTGGCACAGGAAACGGACTGGAGCTGATGCTGGATATTCAGCAGGACGAGTATCTGCCCATCTGGAGAGAAACCAGTGAGTGACAAACGCAACTGCCGCCATTTTGCATCTCATTTAACGATTGTAGTGAAAATGACTTTGAAGATTTTCAGTATTAATTTTATTGTTTATTGCAAAGCTGATGTGATGCTGTACAATGTAATTGTTTTATATAGCCTACTACCATTTAAAATTTTGGGGCTGTAAAATTTTTAAATCTCTCTTATTCTCACCAAGGCTGCATTCACATATTTGACCAAAAATACACGGTTCAAACAGTAATACTGTGAAATATCATTACAATTATAATAACTGTTTTCTACTTTAATATATTTTAAATTTTGTTATTTATTTCTGTGACGAAGCTGAATTGTCAGCAGCCGTTACTCAAAGTCTTCAGTGTCACAAGATCCTTCTCAAGAAACATGTCTTATTAATATGCTTAATATGTATATATCTGAAGATATATATATATATATATATATATATATTTATTTATATCTGACCCTGATACTTTTGAAAGGTAGTGTATACAGGTAAAATTAGAAATTAATTTTAAACCTTAAATCCGTATTTTATGACCACTTATACTGTATATTTATTTATTTAGCACACAATAATACAATAATATACAGTTATATATTTTTTTTTTTCAAAATAAACCCCGACAGAGTGATCAGGACTCCGACATAAAGTGGATTCACATGAATTCACCTTTGTAGCGTCTGGACCAATCAAACACACAATTTTTGATTTGATTTAACAAATCAGTTATTCATTAGATTAACAAATCATCACAGTCCCCTCACCCAATAAACTGGGTGCCAGGATGTCTACAACGACACCAGGACCCCCTGGTCCCCATGGCAACCACGACACCTTTGCTAGACCAGACACATTTATGACCTAATGGCATGTTGAGAATTACCCCTCTCACTACAATTTCCATAGGAAAGACACAGTGCACAGTAGAAATGGACTCTTCTCTAATTAATCCATAGGAAAACCTTTCTGTGAATGAACACACATATCCTTCAGGTCATTGTGCCTGTTGTCTTTGAGATTTTATACTGTTTTATGCAGGCTTATGATGGAACCACTCGTTCCTGTCATCTTACCTATATGTAATCCTACCATGTTTAGTATCTATGAATTCGCCTTCTGATTATCTAAACGAGCGTGTATATTATATGTTGGTACATAGGCAATACATTAGTGTCCTGAGAATCTTTAGTAATTTCGATACAAAGAAATAGAACATCTGTCAGATTTTTTTACCCATTCAATCTGTCCATTTTCAGATGAGACCACACTGGAGGCAGGTATTCGGGTTCAGATTCACAGTCAGAACGAACCCCCGTATATCCACCAGCTGGGCTTTGGGGTCTCTCCAGGATTCCAGACATTTGTTTCCTGTCAGGAACAGAGGGTAGGTTTAACTGGGGTAAAAACCATAAAAACGGCTAAGGTCTGAATTCAAAAGAAAGCTGTTCTAAACTCTTGAATTCCAGACATTTTAAATTAGGAGCTAAGAGTCAAAAAGATTTCAAGGCTGGCTGGGATATTTTCTAATTGAGACTGCATGTGCTAAGTATTTCACAGCCATAGGGTGCACTCAAGCAGACAAAGAAGCAGAGACACATAGACCTTTTCTTTAAATGTCTGCTGTTTTTCTAGCTAACATACCTGCCACAGCCGTGGGGAAACTGTCGGGCTTCATCTATTTTTTTTTTTGCAAAACCTGCTTCTCTCACAAATTCTGTCAGCATTTTCTAATAACTATAGCAGGATTCCTTGTACAAACTGCAGGCTCGTTTCAGTTATATAATGGGATGAAAATGTAATTGGGGTCTTCCATTCATTGGCTCAATAATAGGGAAAAAAACCATTTTAATAGACTGCTCTATAATGACATTCTGTGGTTTCCACTAATTATTATTTTTTAACCATTTTTGGTGCTAATCCTTTTCTTTCCATAATACAAAAAATAATGGGCTCATTTCTATACTGTTTTTCTGCAGGGAATTAAAACATTTTTATTAAACTTTTCATTGTGCAGAGACAACTTTCTCATCTTGGATATTTTCTTTGAGGCCCTTAATTATGAGACAATTGAACAGAAGAAAGCGTACGACATCGCTGGTCTGTTAGGTAGGTTTCCAATCCTCACACACTATAAACATCTGTACAGCAACTGTTATGGTCATCAGAGGTGCGGCATGTCTGCCTTCTCAAAAAAGTATTAAAGGGACTGTAATAGCCATTTTGGTCTTTACTTTGAATTGTTATATATGTGTATATCCAGTAAGGGTCACTCTTGGGTGATTGTTCACAGAATATAGGTGGGAACCTTCCCTCAGTGTTGCTGGAGGGAAGGTGCACACAGTTTTTTGACCGCTACGCTAAGCTGATTGTACCACGCTATGCAAGTCGTTGTAAAGTTGAAGGACTGGTGGATTTATTGACTGTTTGTTTGGATTCTTTCCTACATGGAAATGAAGACCAGTAATGGTAAAATAAATCTACAACAATGAGCATTTTAACTTCTTGTGTGGACATTACAGTTAATAGTAATTCAAGCGTGCACGTCCATTTACAAGCACCGTCCAGCATCCCTCAGCTGCTTAAACTATTAGACTTGGCTGCTTATAGGGATAGTTCACCCAGAAATTAAAATTGGGTCACTTTCTTCTGGACAACAAAATAGATATTTTTCACAATAATGTCTCAAATTTGACTTCAAATAATGAAAGACAATAGGGTCCAGTGCTGTTAACATTCAGAAAGAAAGTCGTACAGGTGTGGAATGTACAGGCTGCACTTGGACACAATAGGCCAATTTTTCAATGACGAAGGGATGCAGTGTCCTGTTCCCTCTCAGGGAACCATGGTTACATGCGTAACCCGAGACATTCCCCTTCTAGGGAACTCGCGCTGCGTCCTCTAGTGGACACTTGGGGAACAAAATGCCCATGTCCATCTGGTGAGATAGCACCAAGGAAGTTACAGACATACACCTAACCTTTCTAAGCCACTGATGGCCCGGGCTGCATACATAGCTTGGCAGAAATGAGGAACCCAGTTTCAGTTTCATATGGGGGGGGGCAGCACAGTCTAGATAGGGGCTCCAGGGGAACACTACTTAAAAACCCTAGTAAGGGGAGTAGTCACTGAGCTAAAAAACAGCTATCCTCAGATAACTATCCTCTAAAGATCATAACTGAAGATTGCCAAGACGTTCCCCTTCAAGGGAACTCACACTGCGTCCCCAAGAGGACAATTTGGGGAATGAAAAAAAACCACTATGTCACGCATGTGATGCATGCCTGTCCACTCGAAACCTTAATAGAGGGGAGACAGCATGAGAAACTAGGAAAACTGCCTGCTTGAAAAATACCCTGCAATTGGGGGAGGCAGCCTAGCATAATAGAAGGGGACCTAAAGGGGACCGCCGACTTGAAACCCCTAGAAAACAGGGAGGAATCCCAGCCCTCCTACCTAAATATTAGGCAAGAAGCAAAATAACTTGAGCTAGCAGGAAACATAACTGTCCTCAAACAGCTAAGTTTCTAAAAGCAATGAGCCATCTACTTGAGACCCTAATACAGGGGAGACAGCTTAAAGCATGGAAAAACAAGGAAACTACCTGCTTGAAAAATACCCTGAAATCAGAAGGAACCTAAGGTGGACCACCTACTTAAAAATCCTAGAAAACGGGGAGGAAGCCCAGCCCTACTGCCTGAAATATTAGGCAGGAAGCTAAAGTAACTTGGGAATAAAGGGGAACCCAGTCAAACTACACAAAAAGGACGGACATCTCATCTAGCCAAGCATGGACACATAACTATCCTCAAACAGCTATGATCTAAAAGCAATGGGCCATCTACTGTACTTGAAACCATACAGGGGAGACAGCTCAAAACATGGAGGGACTACTTGAGAGGGCTTGTGCCAAGAGGAACCAAACCTAGTCATAGAAGTCAGGCTGGACCACAGTTGCCCTTAGACCACTATATTACAGAGCAAAGTAAGTTTGAGCTGAAGCATAACTATCCACAGACAGCTACATTCTGAGCATGGGCTGTCCACTTAAAAGCCCTGAGGTGGGGGGACAGTCTACTCAGCCCAAACTTAATATGCAGGATTGAGAGGGACCGCCCACTTAAAAATACCCTGAGACCTGGGGCGGCAGCCCACTCCTAAACCTATCCAGCTTAACTCAGGAAGGGACATTCCTCAAAATCAAGCTAGGAAAACAGCTGTCCTCAAACAACTATGTTCTAACAGCAATGGGCCATCCACTTGAAAAACCCTAACAAAGGGGGGCAAAGCCATACTTAGCATGCAGGATTCAGGGGGACGGCCTGCTTGGAAGATACCCTGAAATCAGGGGAGGATAATGATTCACACATGCTTAACAAACAGACGGCTCCTGAAGGCAACAAAAGTTGGTGACGTGTTCTGCCTGCACCCTCTTATACTTTGGGGTGCCCACCTGTGACGTCAGGGGCTACGTGGGCCAATAGGACTGGAGTTGTTTCAGACACTGGTCCTGCTGCAGTCCCCAAGTGTCTGCTAGAGGAAACAGCGCGAGTTCCCTAGAAGGGGAACTAAATGCTGGGTTATAGATTTTCCATTACATTATATTTTGGGGCATAATTTTCATTATCAGATGTATTGGGAGTGAGAATGTGTTGGCATTTTTTTAATGGATGTCAATGGAGGACAGGCTTTAATATGCCGATTTCAGTACGTCGACTTTTGAGAGAAAACAGCTGAATTGATAATAAATATAATAATAAATATATTTAAATCTTAGCAGTGGTTTTGATAATATTTTTTATTTCTGATATTGTTGTTTTGGCTAATACAAGTTCTGAATGGTCGGTAACTTAAAAATTTGGTCTGCAAATTGGCTGGTGAGTAAAAACGTTAATTTCAAATCCTGAATACTATAGAAAATAGATGATTAAAAGAGAAGAAAGACTTAACTATTTTATGTTTTTTGTTTATTGATGTTTGGTTTCCATTTCCAGGAGATATTGGTGGACAGATGGGGCTCTTCATTGGGGCCAGTATTCTTACTATACTGGAAATACTTGATTATATCTATGAGGTATCTTCACTTCATTGTGAAAGGACAGTTCTATGACATTCACATAAACACACTATCATAATACACACACATCTCTTGTCCTTTCAGTCCGCATTTAATCTTTATCTCTGTAGGTGGTCAAATACAAAATCAAGCAACTCCTGAAACCAAAAAAGAGTCAGAAACAACAAAACCAAAGGAACTTGATTCAAGAGCAGATCCAGAGAACAAAGAACCTGCGAGAACAGAACCTGAGAGCTCAGCTGGCAGATGGAACTATAGCTACAGTCAGATTTGAAGAGGTCAAAGTCAAGGTGAGTCAGAGAAACCGAGAGATTTTTTGATGGCTTATACACATTGCACCTAATAACTGATGACCCGCACCATGCGATTCGTTTGTCAACAGGCAGCTAATGAAGTGGCTCAACCGCACAGTGCACATCCAACTTCAATATTACCAAATCATCACAATGCACAAGCAGTTGTGCAGCAGGACTTTACTTGTTAAGGGATGCCTCTTCTTCTCTGTATTTATTTTTCATATCACTGAACTTGAAATTGGGATCATGAATGGACCCTGCACACTGAAATACAAATTTAAATTTTTTTTCCACTTATAAAAGCTACAGCCAAAGTCTAATTCAGGACCTCATGTGAAACCGGCTCAAACCAGTCACATCGTCACTGTTCTCATTGTTCAAGTAAATACCAGATGAAGAAACCACACAATGTGTTTCACATGTGCTTTTGTTGATTTTTTTTCCCATCTGGATGGACCTATCATGGACTTCAAAGAAGAAAGGACCAGAAAGGATCAGATTCGATCAGAATGTTGCATTTCACAATAATTACCTATTTGACAGGACAAATATGAACTAAATTAAAGTTATAAGGAAAAAAGAGAGAGATGACGCAAACACACAGCTGTTGCTAAGTGCAGAAAGAGTTGGTTTCTGTGTGATTCTTCATTTGGTAATGTACAGTGCTTGCATCATTTCACCATTTCACATTTCTTAATAACATAATGAGACTTCTCAGTAGGAGAACAGCTCAAATATACCACTCGTTTCACTGTGAGTAGGTGTTATGTTCTTTTTCAGTCTTATGTAACTTCTCCATTGTGCTATAGTCCTTATAATGAAACAGTCTGACTCTAGGTTTGAAACATCACACTAGAGCACACTCTGTTTGCTGAAATCATCTCAAGTAAAATAAATAAATAAAATTAAAAACACAAGTAACTTCTTTATATGAATATAAAAAGGTAGGTGATATTTATTTTGTATTCAAATACAAGCACATTCAAATACAAACAGATACATTTAAAATTGTAGTAACATTTTGCTGAATATCCATCATTTCCATCTGGTCTGTCTGAAAAGGACTAGAACACAGTAATACTGTCTACAGCTGAAACAAAACTGTCAGAGTATAACCTTAAAGCACCATAAGTTCTTCTTCTTTTTTTTTATTCCATGTCTTGAATAATGTATTGGAGACTAGTCTTATGGCAGAGCCTTCTGATTGAATATGCAGAACTTTCGCAATTAACCTTGTGCATGAGGACAATATTTCAAGGAGGGGAAAAAAAATCAGCTTTTACTGCCATCTAGTGGGCCTAACACAAACACCTATCGTATTTCATCAACACTACTTTGTATGAAATTTGCAACACCAAGTCAAAGTCTGGTGGCTCCATAACCATGGACATTCAAGGGTAAAAATCTTATATGTAATCATCAGAATTTGCAATTCTGCAAATTACTGTGGAAGTATTTGGTGAATAAAAGTTGTTTTTTTCAACAATATCACATGGGTGGGTCAAAAAGACTAATGCAAGTTGTGAAAAAATTGGTTGTGATTACATATTAATAATAATAATAATAATGAGGATGAAAATGTGCCGTCACCTACAGTGACACACTTTCAACAAATAGAATTAGAGCTTCTTAAGCTCTTCATCTGTAACCTTTTCTGTTAGCAGCAGCACAGTGTACACAGTAAACATCTGCAGTGTGATGCACTTTAACTCTATAACCTCATTACAACATGTTAGTTCCAGAGCCCAACACCTGGTTCTCTGCTAACAAGCATCTTTTCTGTAAAAAATTATTGAAGGGGGGGAAAAAAACACCTAAACATCATTTTGACATTATAAATATTCTTAAATATTTGGGTTATGTGCAAAACAAAACAAAATAAAAATTATTTTGTGTTAATTTGTTTGTTGGTTGCCTAGCTGAGAAGCATTTCACTGTGAAGGAGCAGATTTAAAGGCACAGATTTTTACATGGACAATATAGTTAGGTTGTCCCAGACAGCCACAGCTCACGGGAAAATGAAGTGTGGGTGGAATACTGGAATGTATTGCTAACATGGGTGGATTCAGAAAACTGGAATAATACAAAATAAATTGTGGAAATAGCTTTATACATTCACCCTTTCTGAACTGTCCAGTATTGTTGTAAACATACTTTATCTTCTCTTCCCTCAGCTGCAGCCACAATAAAAATGCAAAGCAAATTCTTTCACTACAGTTATTGAACAAATAACATTCCCAGCTCCATCACTAGCCCCAAGTTTACTTTTTTTTTTCTTTTTTTTTTGCAACATTACAAACTTTCATTTGAAGCAAAAAGTATTTGAAAATCAGACCAAAAGACAAAGCTACAACACATATATAGTGGCTTTAGTGAGGGGATGACTACAATCCCATGAAGCATTATGAATGACATTAATTAAAAATATATAGCAATTCTCATTAAAAGTTGTTTTTAATTCAATAGAAGCTATATATTTACGTTTATTGTAAAATGTGCATATATATATATATATATATATATATATATATACACACACACACACAAATATTGAAGTATCATAAGAGCATAGAGAGACCGACTCGATTACTGTACGTCACATTTTTTGATTGGTGGACTTTTCTGTACAGCATCATGGGTAATGCAGTTTTTCACTGCAAATTCCGCTGTTAAACATGGTTATTTTAAAAATAAGTTAAAATTTGAACACATTTTTAAAGGTTTAAAAGATATTATTAAAAATGAATTTCCCCATGGAGAATTATTATTTTTTACTTACAGAACTCTGCTGTTGCACTACTGCGCAAACTGTATGTACGCTGGCAGATATTTCTAACCACCTAAACTCTGCACGCTTACCTTGCACATGCGCCTTGAATTACCACAAGGTGGCAACACTGGCCCCGGCCATTTGTTTCACAGTCGGAAAAAAAGGAGACAGAACAACAACAACAAACTAACGTTACTGGAGAAGGCAACAACTAGGGCTGAACGATTTTGGAAAATAATCTAATTGCGATTTTTTTTTTTTTTTTTTACCAATTTTGCGATTGCGATTTAATATGCTTTTTTTTTAAAGCTCTTTATGTACTGTATTATTCAACAAGAAAGCTATAAATCATTGTCTAGTATGACCAACACAAAATTAGATAGATTAAACATAAATGTTCTTTTCTGTAGGCCAGGCCTATATGTTACATGAAATTATAGGTGATGCATGAATTGATATGAATGACATTTTTATTTAACAACTACAATCACAGTATATTAACTGATTTGTTGAACTTCCAACCTTGTAAGCATGTAATAATTATGACAACATAAAGCACTGACAAATAAGCCTGGTGTAAACATTAATATGAAAGTCAGAAACAAATCACACAAACTAAAGTAGATTGCAGAAATATAAAAACAAATCTGTTGCTTTACCACACTACTTTAGGTAATTCAAAGTCACTGTAATAAACATATGTAAACATGTGCCCTGCACTTTTTAAACACTGTCTGTTAACTTTAGAACAGTGGTTCTTAAAAACTTTTTTGGTCGCGCCCCCTTTAAATCTATAAAAAAATCCCACCAAATAATTTAATTGGTAATTTTCAACAATGCTTTTTTAATAAAAAGAAAAACTACAGGGAAAAAAACACCTGCATCACTTGAAACATTTAAAAATAGCATAGAGAGAATAACTGTTATTATTATTATTATTCTCTCTCTGTTATTTATTTATGGGTTTCTTGCTGTCCGCTAAGTCATAGGACATACACAGGCTTTCCTCCTCACCAACGACATTAAACACCGTGTCAACACCGGAAACGAGCAGCAAAATACAGTAGAACCACTGATCTATAATAGAGAACATTAATAACAGTCATTATAGATCAGTGAGTAGAACCCATTATAATCAGTGACGCTGTCTTCCCTCTCACAAATCCATCTCCCATTCTAAGTTACGTCCTTTGGCTGTTTGGCTGTTTGGCTGTTTACTGTTTTATTTCTTTTCTTTTTCTACTGATGGCCCGCGCCCCTGAAATATCACATGGTCCTAAGTATCCAGACCCTTTGCTGTGACACTCATATATTTAACTCAGGTGCTGTCCATGTCTTCTGATCATCCTTGAGATGGTTCTACACCTTCATTTGAGTCCAGCTGTGTTTGATTATACTGATTGCTCACCAAATTCTAACCTTTCATTTAAGTATAACAATTGAAAGTGGGGAGAAACTCACATTATGAAATAAATGTTTTTCTCCAATGCACATTGGCCACAATTATTGGCACCCCTAAAAATTATTATGAGTAAAATATCTCTGAAGTATATTCCCATTCATATTTACATTTTTTAGCACACCAAGGTGACTAGGAGCATGAAATTGTCCAGCCATGACTTCCTGTTCCACAGGATTATAAATATGAGGAACACAAAGGCCAATTTCCCTTAATCATCCATCACAAGGAGTAAAACCAAAGATTATAGTTCTGATATGCAGAACAAGATTGTTGAGCTTCACAAAATAGAGTGGCTGTAAGAAAATAGCTAAAGCATTAAAAATTATGCTTTAGCTATTTTCTTAGCTATTTTCCCCATTTCCACCATCAGGGCAATAATTAATAAGTTCCAATCAACTAAAGATGTTACAAATCTGCCTGGAAGAAGATGTGTGTCTATATCGTCCTAATGCACGGTAAGGAGGAGAGTTTGAGTGGCCAAAGACTGTTCAAGGATCACAGCCGGAGAATTGCAAAGATTAGTTGAGTTTTGGGGTCAGAAAAAATAAAACAGCCCCAACATCACCACATGCTGTACAGGAGGCTTTCAAGAAAAGTCCTCCTCGCTCATCCAAAAACAAACTCGAGCATGTTTAGTTGTCAGACACGACTGGAACTTCAAACGGGACTGGCTTCTATGGTCAGATGAAACTAAAAAAAAAAAAAAAAGTACAAAAAGTCTTGTTAAGACTAATGTTACTGATAACAAATCTCTTTGCACTGCAAACAAATATTCTTTTTACTTTATGCAGTTCCCACATATTCATTATGCACCCACCATACATTTTGGTCTCTGTTCTGTTGTCATTTTTTGCGGATCTAAAATCTGCTTGCAAGCTGAAAAGTTTTGCTTGTGAGTAACTGCAAAACAGTGGGCGGTAACTATGCACCAGAATGAAAGATCTGTTTCTATTGATCACTCTTGCTTTGCACAATAATCTGGCCACAACCCACTGCATGGTCCTGGACAGAGAGCGAGCTTGTGGCGTTAAGAAATTCTGCACTGGTCACAGGATGAACAGTGAGAGCATTCTGGAATCCATCATTTTCCATTCTGGGAAGGTCCATATTGTTTTCCATTGTAAGATAATTATAATTCAGGCCCTGAGGTAAAGCAAGATTGAAATTAGATCAGAATGTATTATTTTACATAAATATATTTATATGTATTGTGTTTTTAACATGCTTCGACATTTGGCACTATAACAAGAACATGATCATAGTTTCATAGACAGCACCCATAGGTTAATTCGCGTCATCTCTAGTCAGCAGACCCTTGCAATTTGCAGTAATGCTGTTTAATGTCTTGTTGTAACCATGCTAATTAACTGCACAAATCGCAGCATGTCTGCAGCTGGCCTGCCGAGAACAGGAAGTAATTTACTTTGTGGTTCAGCAGCAGAAGTACATCATTCCATTAAAGTAATCCTGGTTTCTGGACGCTCACTTGTTTTATGTTGGATCCAAACAGCATGTTCAGGTCTGTGTGAATTACTGATGCTTTATTTTCAGGTCACTGCTTTTTATGTAAATGTCCAAAAGGTCCAAATTTGAACAACTAGACTGTCTTAAACCCAGTCTAATGATATGTTGCCTCTGCATGAGACTGATAGCTCACCTAATGAGAGCCAGTGCTTTTAGTTTCTCTGTGGATTGCAGAAGAAATCATTATTTTGGATATTATTTCCACTTGCAGTAATAATAATAATAATAATTTATTTATTCATTTATTTATTTATATTTTGCTTTTTAAGGATCATACACTGATTTACAATAATAAACAATTAGCTTTATCTGCTTCCAATGCATTCTTTTTCCTTTAAACCAGTTAAGTGCACACTGTGCTGATTGCCTACACAACACTAAAACAAATACGAACCCCTAACCTTGGTAGCACATCCTGATAGATACCATTACTGTTTGTCACGATTGGATCCATCCATGATTTTTCTGAACTTAAGTCTGAGTTTTTCTTGACTGCTTAATTGAGTTGACCAATGAAAGTTACTGTGGGTTGGGGTTTGTATTTAACTGGTTTGCTTCCAAAAATTTAAAATCACTAATTGATTTCTACTTTACATTAGTTAGTCTTAAAATATGAAATATTTATATATATTTTTTATGAAATCATGTGTTTTCATTCTTTTAATTAGTCTGAATCTAAAATGATTTTGCATTAACTTACAATTTAATTAAAGTTCCCTTCCGAGGGAACTTCGAACTGCGTCCTCTAGAGGTCGCTATGGGGAATGCCTTCAGCGTGACCGGTGTCTAAAGCATACATCTAAACACGACAATGATATTGGCTGTTGTGTTTAGGGGGTACACGCAGGCGGCGTGACACATGTTTACAACCCCGCCTCCAGCAGCGAGGGTGTCGGAATGTTCAAAAACTGTATACCGTCGCTTAGCCTTTTGGAACTTCTTTATGCCCTCAAACGAAGAACGAAAAATAACTTTGTTTGAAGTATATCGGGACCTTAATGCTTCGTGATGTGCTCCCTGATGTCCAGGCTGGGTGTTTGCTTCAAGAAGCTGCCCCGGCCAGGACACGCTACTCATGTCTCGCCCCGAGGGGTCTCCTGAGATTTTAGTCATGTAAGGCCTCTTTAATCAGTGTTTTATTACCTTTTTTTAGGAAATAAGGTTATTAAAATGTGTGTAATATGTTAAGTTTAATCTTGAACGAATGGGCACGACAAATGCAGAATGTTGAAATGAAGTAAACTTTAATAGTATGTACAATACTTTGAGATTTTTGAGCATTTAAGAGACTTTATAGAAGTATTAACACAACTTTTATAGATGATGTCCTCATGTGATGAATTGAAGCCTCTTGTTAACGTATGCACGCTCCGCCTTGCAAGAAGTCGATTGGAAGATCACGCCGTGGGACGGACTTATGCCGCGGATCAAAAACCCAATGCAAGACAGACTCGAGTGCTTGCTTGCTTCTTCACCTTTCGCCGTGTTAAGAGCACTCCAACTTGTGCTCACATGCTTACCATCATAGCGATCGGTCATCTAAAACTCAAACACTTCAGTTGAAACTTTGTGATCGTCAGAGATCTTCAAAGAATTTAAAGTCTTGCAAACTCAGACTTTTCAGCAGAACTGCTCAAGCCTCTGCGTCATCAAGAAACCAACCAATCTCCGGAGGGCTTCCCCCGAAGGGACGCCATCCTGACGTCATCTCAGTAACCAATCAGCAACGGAATTCCCTCAAGCAGCCAAACCAGGAAACTCAGCTTTTCAGCTGTCACCCAAAACGCAAGTAAACGAACAAAATCGTATCCCTGCTGAACTGGTGCAGAGCTAATTTTAAGCAGTAAACATAAGCCAAGTCTCTGCTTTGTGATTTTCTCAGGTTGCAAGTAAGAGAACTGTAGCGAATACCTTGCTAAAACTTTGGGCTTTCCTCAGAACTCCGTTAACATAATTTTCATTCTTCAGAACTGTATGTATGTGTGTGTCTTAGCTTAGGTCAATGTAATTTAGAATAGCCAATAAATTCTTGTTTCATTTATAAAGAATCGTCTTGTGTCGTGACATTTTAAAGTTAAAACTCTGCCTAGATCCTTGTTACCTTGCTCGAAATTTAATAAGATTACCATTTTGTTTATGTGTCGTTGGCCAATGGAAGTAATATGAACAGAATCGGTAATGTACACGAACGTTAATGTCTCGCTGGACGACCGTTGATAAAGTGTAAACTATTAAAATTTGAAATCAGTCTAATCAGGTTGACTTTGAATCTTCGGATTCGAGTCCTTTCAAAACCTGAATTAATTAGTAATAATTAATTCCCTAAGAAAATTAATCAGACATCACAGTCATCCTCTCAACCATCATGCATGTTCTCTGAGAGGGCTACACTCGCTGAGGCGTTGAGGGGCCTAATACTCTTTTGTTCCACTCTGCAGTTTGATAGACGGTCAGGCCCGCGGGACCTCCCTGTCACACTGCCATTATGGTCGAACCGGTGAATCGCCCCTTTGCGGAGTGGGCTTGAGTACGCTGCGTTCCCTGAGGTATGAGTGAAATGTGTTTCTGCGGAAACCCTTCCTGAGTGATTCGGCTCCGAGGAGCAATAGCTCTTCATGCATTAATGGGTTAATGAGTCCTGTTGTGAGAGCATGAGATTGTGTTCAGCTGCATCAGTTGATGGTCTCTCTTTGGGCTCTGCTAGACTGCCCTTCTAATCTAGCGCTGCTGTCTGGTCGAGCTGAGAATGCTCCCATCAGTGTGAGGGTTAGCTATGAGCCTATTGCTCCCAGTTTGTGCTTTGAAGGCCCGCCTCAGCTTGAGAGCCGAGAGTGCTGCTCCAGAGAACTCCGTATGCAATGATACTGAGTTGTTAGGCTCGTCCTGTTGCCTCCTCGGTCAGTTGCCTCTATGCTGGGACACTTTGGTTCCCTGTTGAAATGTGTAATCCCCTTTTAAGCTGGATCCCATTTCTGATGTACCAGTTGCGGTCAATCTGCTCCCCAGACATGGCTGTGCTCCCCTCACTGCGGGAGGTTCTTTTATGAGCTCGCCGTTACTGGGCAGGTTATGTGAGTCCTTCTCTCTACTTGAGAGTTAGGTACTTCGCCCCTGGGCTATTGATCAGTTCGGTCGAGCTGGGTTCCTCTCCCTTAGCTAAGGGTCAAGCACTCCGCTCTTTGAGCTCTGTGACAGCGACATCAGGTAGTTTGGCTGCTTTCTGCCTCCCTGATTAGTTGCCCCTATTTATTTGAGCCTAGCAGTGCTCCCCTCACCTTAGAGGGTTACCTTTGAGCATGCTCCCCTCACCTTAGAGGGTTACCCTCTCCCAATTGAGCGTCTGAGGCCTCCTCTCAGGGAAAAGCAGGTCCTATGCTTTTGGAGCTCCATTGAGCAGCAGCCTCAGGTTGTTAGGCTTCTCTCTGCCTCCCTGTTAGGCTGCTCTCTTTGTTGGTGAGTTAGCAGTGCTCCCCTCACCTTAGAGGGTTACCTTTTGAGCCCGCCACTCCCAATTGAGCTTCTGAGGTCTCCTCTTATCGGGTCCTCCACTCCTTGGAGCTCCATTGAGCAGCAGCCTCAGGTTGTTAGGCCTCTCTCTGCCTCCCTGTTAGGCTGCTCTCTTTGTTGGTGAGTTTAGCAGTGCTCCCCTCAGCTTAGAGGGTTACCTTTGAGCACGCCACTCCCAATTGAGCGTCTGAGGTCTCCTCTCATTGGGTCCTCTGCTCCTTTAGAGCTCCATTGAGAAGCAGCCTCAGGTTGTTAGGCCTCTCTCTGCCTCCCTATTAGGCTGCTCTCTTTGTTGGTCGAGCTTAGCAGTGCTCCCCTCACCTAGAGGGTCACCTATGAGCTCCCAGTTTGAGGTCTGTCCTGTGACTGTTATGGTTGAGTTGGCGATACCGCTGAATTATTGTCACTCCTTGAGCGGGCCACAGTCACGTAGGGTCTAGGCCTGTCTAAAGGACAGTTTTTTGGTTACCCTTTAGTAACTGTGTTTCTAAATCCATGCTATGGTAAGTGCACACGCTGAGCTTCTGTGCACTTTCTAAAATCCACATTGTGGTAAGTGTGCACACTAGGAATTCTGCACACTTTCTAAAATCCTGTATGGTAAGGGTTATGCGCTGTCAGCCTCGTTTCCTTTCTCTGAGTTGGCTAGGCCCCGGTTTTCACCTTGGGCTCCACTCAACCTATGTATCCCTGTTGGTACATTACGATATTTCTAAATCCATATCTATGGTAAGTGCACATGCTAGTTCTCTGTGCACTTCTCTAAGTCCATATTCATGGTAGGTGTGCACGCTAGCCTTTGTGCACCTTTTTTAAAACCCTTTATGGTAAGGGTGATGCGATGCTGGCCTCGTCCCCTTTCTCTGAGTTGGCTCTGGCCCCGGTTTTTACCTTGGGCTCCACTCTCACACTTTTGTAGACAGGGTGTTGCTACTAAGTCCCCTGGGTGTCTTGTGATCCTCGGGTAGCTTGTTCTTAGAGCAGGAGGTAGTCCCTGTGTGACAGGCCAGGATATGGGTTATGTTAGCCCTGGTACTTGGCCGTATCCCCTTAAAGGAATCCTTTTTATTTTTAATTCCAAGCCTTGAGCTTTGCCCAGGGCTTGAAGCCTT